ACCATTTAAGAAAGACCATTGGTCAATAAGGCCGATAACTTCTGTCTAATATCTTCTCACACAAACTCAAAGACCTACTGGCAAAATCTAACAAGTTGGCAAAAGAAGCAAGGCAGAGAAGACGGGACTTCCTTCAGGTGAACGTAGAAAAGGCGGCGGTGATGAAAACACCCGACCAACAACAACAACAAGCTTCAATCACCATCAACAGGTGAAACTTAAAGGAAGTTGCCTCTTTCACCCACCACCTAGGCAGCACTGTTTCAACTACAGGCAACGATGGTGGCACACACGACGACGTCAAAGCAGCCAGCATCGGAATCGGAAAAGCAACACAGGCCTTCTTTCATTAATCTGAAACCACTGTGGAGATCTTCTGCACTCCACTCAGCATAAAGCGTCAACAACATTCGCATTTTCAACACGAATGTCAGTGAAGTGAGCCAGTGCTTCTCTGTGATGGTTGAGAGACTTGGCGGAGCGTTACGAAAGGCATTTCCAACAAACTACACACATTCATCAACAACTGCCACCTACGCTGGCTCATTACTGAAGATCAGATTGATTGCCAGAAGAATAAGCAAGGAGGAAGTCACTGTGACTGGCTGGCAACGAACCAACCAACAACCTATCACTCAACAAATATGCAGTGTAAGGAAGTGGAGACGGTTGGGATTGGGCATACACTGAGAAGACCATTCAGGGACATCACGCGACAGGCCAGCTAGGCACTCGAGTGGAACCCAGTTGGGAAACGACGAGTTGGACGTCCGAGGTGAGGTTGGCATGGAGGAGATGGTGTAAGGAAGAAATGAGAGCTTTTGGGCAGTGGTGGAGCCAGGTTCAAAAGTTTGCAGAGAACAGAGTGCACTGGAGACGTACTACTGAAGCCGTATGTTCCATTAGGAACCCAAGGGACAAATAATAATAATCATAATAACTATGTCAGAAAAGATAATGAAGATTTTGGAAAAAAAATACAGTAACAGACAGACAACATAGAACTGCATAACATTTCAAGTTACTGCACCTCATATCAACACATCAAGAGTGAATATGTTAAGATTAAAGGTAAAGAAATAAGGGAGAAAGTAATACTCATCAATTCTAACCTACTTTCGATCACTTGTATAATTATTTTTCTGAAAATATTTCAGTGATTTAGAAAAAGCAAAAACTAGACGTGCAAACAAACCATAGAAACATGTCTAGAGTTTAATACATCGGAACCATAATTTTATAGTGTGATGTTGTTAAGAGAGAACCACAGAAAAAGTCAGCCAGTAACCTTGTAGGTGTTGACATAGTGAGCTGAGGGTTATGACCGATATCTAAGAACTAATGTTATTAATTATATTACACCATCGTTGTTTGGACCGAATTGATCCGTCTCTGTTGGCATATGGGCCTCCTGTGCGGATGCCTCGATATTGCCTGTTTTTTTAATTATGTATAGTAATGATGGGCAGTGGAATCCAGGATGAGCGTTTCGTCATATTTGGAACTCGTCAGCTGGATGTACCTGCCTCCCAGTGAGTGATGTTGTTCCCACCGGGACTCAGGAGCGATCACTTCAAACGCCAGAGCGTGCGTTATCTACTACACCACCGAACCAAGATAGCCACTCCTTGAGCGATGGGTATACTTTTAGTGTTATTGCTTGCATCCTGAATTCCACTGCTAGCCACTGCCCATCATTACGATACCAACTTGTCAACCATATCCAAATAAACTTGAGGGGAGATAGTGTTAGAAAGTCCCACATTTTCACAAAACACTATTTATCCATCAAACTGCACATTTTTAAATTGTTGTTTTTGCGCTTTTATCACATTTTGGCTAATAGTTTATTCCTCCTTCCTTTTTCAAGGTAATTCGCTGATTGGTTAGCGCTTGCTTTTACTATGTTAATGTTCCAAATTCTGAACAAGGTCATATCACACACACACACACACACACATACACACACACAGGTTTTCGGTCATTTTGAATCATCTCAGAGATAATAATTTCTCTCACTCAGACCAGTCGTTTATTCTCGATTTTTGTTTAGGGTTTGGAGTCAGTAGTATCTGGTGTACAAGTTAGGTCTTAGTTATAAGTGTACGTACACTCAGAAGCATAGCAGATATGAACACGATATTCAGTGATTAGTAGTTGAATGACTCAATGAACATACTGCACCTCCTGGAAGAAAAACAACAACTAGAATTTAGTTTCTTTTCATGCTTTATTAAAATAGTGTGCATTTTTTGAAATGTTCCATTGTAATATGCTATATATTTTGACATAGAAACATATTCAAATAAACATCAATTATGTATTGATAGTTCACGGAAGTGCAACCAATTTCATGTGGGTGGGACATCAGTTCCGTTGAGGTTGCAGATACGCCTTGCTGACAAGTGCCAAAAAGCACGAAACCTAGGTTCAGGGGTTCCTGCCGATTGCCTCCAACCAACTAACATCTACTAATGTGCACCACAATACTGAGCTTCCTAGCTTGGTTGCCACATTGCAAATATGATCGATAGAATTCGATCTGCACTCATGAAATTGGTTGCACTCCTGTGACCAATCAATACATGTAAGCCAGTCCTACAGGAGGTCAGTCGCGACCCGAATAGCTCAGTGATAAAGTCGCTGACTACAACACTGGATGACGCGGGTTCGAATCTCGGATGGGATGTCAGTTCCGTCGAGGTTGCAGATACGCCTAGTTGACGAGTGCCAGGAAGCACGAAACCTAGGTCAAGCAGGGCTTCCTGCCGATTGCCTCCAACCAACTAACAAACATCAATTATCTTTTGTCCAATTAATGACTAATATTATTAATTACAAGTTAGTAAATCCTTATTATATGAGACAAGTCTTATTTTGTAGCTTCATTTGCACAAGCTCCTTCAAAGTTTATATTGTACATATGTATACATGTTAATACTAGTGTTACACATAAACTAATCAATAATATGGTCCGACAAAAATGACAGTTGAAGTCTATCAGAGAATTTCAAGGTCTTCCATTTTTGTTTGCATACAAACAAGAGACTAAAGGCATACACATTTGTTTACATGAAGCATATTGTTCATTTCTTACATATCTCTTATAGATATAGATAGATAGATAGATAAGAAAATCAGAAGAAAGCTCGGGTAGGTGAAACGGACCTTAGACTTCCAATAGGGCTTGATACAGTGAAAAGTGTCTACTATAATACTGAACTCAATTAGCTTATAACTTGGAAGAATATTTCCTATAGACACCATAGTCATCGTGTTGGGTTACCTACAAATTTGTATCAGAGAAGCTGATTCAATTAGAAGCCAAACACTGAATACTAATTCCATTTAAATCATCAAAGGTTTTTCCCGACTGCCATGAGAATTCCTGACATGAAACTGTCGCTCGATCATACTCACACTGGCTTCCAGTTAGGACTTCTCATCTCAATGCAAAGCAATCAGAATTAGAGAGGGGAACCTTCATATATTGATTGTCAGTTTGACTATCTAAAATAGCTGTGATTTGATAGACTTGTTTCGGTGGTGAGTGATGACTGAGGTGAAACGGAAATCTGGGCCATCACAAGATTCGAACTAGTGACCTTCGAGTTACGGGCTCAGTGCTCTAGCAATTGAGATACCAAATCCGTCTGCAGACTAGATCCATACTATACTCTATGTCTTTGAATACTCTCATCACAATAAAATCAATCTGAGGTGTCTTGGTTGTATTGTGTTCTCTGAAATGGGTTGTTTAATCGTGAAGCTTTCATTGTCTTGCTACACAGCGATATCATTCACAGCACTAACTTCAGTATGAAGTGACCTGTCAATATCTTTCCATCAGTGGTTTGGTGGCTTGCCTTGACAAAGTGGTCTGTGATTGATTGTTCCCTTTGATTGTTGTCTCCACTGACTGTATAGATTTTCCTGTTGGTTGTCCCTCTGCTTCACCTCTAACCTTTCTGTCGTTTATCATCTTTCTTATTGGTTGATAGATTGGGTCTATATCTATACATGTGTTGATTGCTGACTGACTGACTGACTGACTGACTGACTGACCTGAATGCCAAGGTTCTAGGAATTCTCTGATATTCTTTGTGTTTCCTCTGTGCAAAATTTCTAGACTGTCAAAATTGAATTCATGTCCATAGTTGTTATCCATGTGCATTGAAATGAGTGACGAAATTTCGTGACGTTTAATAGCCAATTGGTGTTCATGCAGACGAAGGCGAAGAGGCCGACCACTTTGTCCAATTTAGTGTTGGCTACAGTGATAGCAGTTGATTTTGTAAATGATATTCGGTTTGTCTTCTTTGGTTGTTGCATCCTTTGGTCTGTATAATAGTGTTTGTAGGGAATTTGTTGGTTTAAGGTTAGGGTTAGGCGGGTTACTAGCCTAGTAATGTGCCAAATAAGCTTCTTTGACACCCGATTGCTGATCATCATCATTATCAACATAGGATCAGGCATTACTGCGTAACACTCCGAGTTGCCACACCTCACGTCAGTTCATCAAGTAAAAAGGTAGTGAGGTGAAGGATGAAGATAAGTGAATGCAGTCAAAAGAAATATAAAGTATGAGAAGAAAGGAAAGAGGAGTGACAAAATGGTGAGATTCGGTATAGCGTTGTTAAGATGAGGATAATGTGTGTATACATCTGCGCCACTGACTTCGGTTCTGAGCCATATCACCTAGGGTCTCCAACCGCTGGTTCCTCTTGTCTCGTGGACCCCAACCACCTAGTCTGCATCGCCCTCCGTACATGGCTTAAACCAACAGTCAGAGACTTCATACATTGGTGCCATGCTTTAGTCTGGCCACCTCGGGCCTTTTTCCAGCGTGGACCCGATTGCTGAGCAGATTTTCATTTCACCTTGGATTACCACCTCTATCCGTCAGTCAGTTATTTCAATGATAAAAACTTGCCATGGAAATGTAACCCTATATAATGCATTCATTCAATAGAATACCTGACTCAATTTGATTAACTTACTTGGATAGACGAAGATAAGTCAACCAGAAAATACTTAAGCATAAATAAGCCAAAGAAGAGATGGCATAAAGCATAGGCAGTGGATGTTGACCAGCAGATAGATAGCTATCCACATTCTTTTCAACCATTTTTAACTGGAAAAAAAATGATAAAAAGAAAATTTAATGCAAATTGGCAAAAAAAGTACTCAAGATGTGACAAACACCTTTTTTTGTTTTCTCTAATCTCAAAATTTCCAAACTTAGCATATTCTTTCTGATCAGTTAATATGTATATCAAGTAATATTAGGTATATACGTGTTACGTAGCTACAAGAAGGCAGAAAATAGGGGGAGTTTTCAAGTCGTGATCAGATCATATTCAGGTCATGATTTATGCATGCGCTGACATGAGGACCTGATTAGAGGAATTCGACCTCATACAAGGGAATCTGATCGATCCATTTGTGGCTTCACTCTGTAAGAGTTTTGTAACTTCATATATGTCATGTATTTGTCGAATAAAAGTTGTTGTTGTCGCTGTTCTTGCAGTCACAGGCTGTCTTTGTCTTCTGATGTCACCGCGGCTCAGTGAAGCAGAAGGTACTGAGGGAAGTCAGTCATAAAGGTATTCAGTTGAGGTGTCTATTGAGTCTCAGTATCCATTATACCCACGCGCGCAACCCCACCACTCGGTCACAACAATACGTGAAGAGGTATACGTTTTAAAAGGGGTTGGTCCAGCTTGTAAGCATTTCTACTGGTGCTGATTTTATGACAGTACATCAATTTAAAGATTGGCTTTATTTTACACAATACTACTTAAGAAATTATCCTGGTGTGAACTTGACAGATGCAGAGGCCAGTCACTAATTATTCGAACTTCTTATATACCCAAAAATACGAGACCATAAAAAAGAACACAATAGCGTAGTCGGATGGGATAGTATATTTGCGAGGTCAGGCCGAGATACCGATGCGTTCCAGCTAACTGTCTAGAGAGTAGATTACGAGCAGTGCAACGTAACACAACAGCGTGCCATATGGCGAGAATGCTTGATCAGATGCCTTCAGCTTAGCGAGTCCAGTTAAACTATCAAGATCACCATCAATGTTGAATCTCATCGAACCCTAGGCTATTGATTTTGGAGAAGTGTATGACGTTACACTACCATTTCCAAATATTCTACCTTCGAACCACTATAAACTACATTCTGAAATAGTGGAGAATATTTATAGCACAAGTGAATGGTCTTGGTTGTATTGTGTTCTCTGAGTTGGGTTGTTTAATCGTGAAGCATGCATGTGGATAATCATGGACATGAATTCAATTTTGACAGTCTAGAAATTTTGCACAGAGGAAACACAAAGAATATCAGAGAATTCCTAGAACCTTGGCATTCAGGTCAGTCAGTCAGTCAGTCAGTCAGTCAGTCAGCAATCAACACATGTATAGATATAGACCCAATCTATCAACCAATAAGAAAGATGATAAACGACAGAAAGGTTAGAGGTGAAGCAGAGGGACAACCAACAGGAAAATCTATACAGTCAGTGGAGACAACAATCAAAGGGAACAATCAATCACAGACCACTTTGTCAAGGCAAGCCACCAAACCACTGATGGAAAGATATTGACAGGTCACTTCATACTGAAGTTAGTGCTGTGAATGATATCGCTGTGTAGCAAGACAATGAAAGCTTCACGATTAAACAACCCATTTCAGAGAACACAATACAACCAACATAAACTACATTCTTTTGAATGGCCATTTACTAATTTTAAAATCTCTTACTCAAATGACTCTCAAAAACTTGAACGTTAAATGACAAATATTCAATGTCATTGTAGAAAAAACTTTAGTCAGATTGTCAATAAGGTATATCTTCCCTTCTCTCTCACTTCTTTCATATCTCCTAATAGTTAAAGGGTCACGTAGAAGTCGAGAATAGTCAATACATGTTTCATGAAACTTAAGTGTTCTTGTTAATTGATTAACTCGGAATTGTGCCTACATAGTCCATACACTTCGATTACATACACGACAATAAACTGTTCAATACAGCCTCATGGATAACTTTAAAGGCGTGAGAATTCAACTGAATTCAATACAGGTTACTTTGCGACTACTATTCATTCTTCTTTTTCAACTACATCATATTTAGCTTTGATGAGTAGTAGATGATTGCTAATCTAGTTACTATGATGTCTCATGACTGGAAAACGTGTTACACATGCGTGGTGACAGTCTGCTCTGTTGTGTAATGTTAGCTGAAATAGAATTAAGTTAGTGAAAGGTTAGAAGTGATTCGATTAAAACATCGTATCAGTCCATGAAGTTTATTTGATCTGTCCCATGTAGGGGGAATGTAATTTATCTGGTTGGCGTCCATGTGACAAGTGAAATCCATATTCGAAGTTCCTAGATAATACACCTCAGAATTGATCTCAGTGGTGTAGATTTATTCACACATTATCTTCATCTCAGCGGTTACATTGGATTTCATTATTACCTGACTTAATGTTGTTATTGTCTTTTCACAATTTCCTACCACTTTTGATTACTTTCTTAACCTTGTTGTGCTAATATGAGGTTTAGCAACATCGATCGTTACATATCATGTTTCACGTTAGTCTTGATTACCATCCCGAGGGTAGAGTAGACTGAATGTCTTCAAAATAAAAGACAAATCCTTGAAAAAAGAACAGTTCAAATGACATAGAATCACTAATATAAGAGTAAACTTGGCCAATGTCGTGAACAGTCTACTGATGTCTATAGGAAACCTTCCCATTTGAATCGCTATTTTGACTTAAAATCATCTCACCTCATATCAGTTAAAGTAGACTTAGTTAAATACCTAAGTAATAGGGTAAAACAGTTTATTAGCAGGCCAGAAAACCTACGACTAGGAGTTAGACATATCAAGAATACCTTGCGTCTCAATAACTACCCACCTAAATTAATAAACAACTTGATCGAAAGAAAAGTATTACTAGCCACACAGGTATTACTGATAATAATTCCACTACAAATAGTAATGGTGACAGGGTTGAGAGAGAATTCAAAACCTCTGTTGCATTGCCATACAAAGAAGGCACCTCAGACGTATTATGAAGAATTCTCAATGAGCCTGGGATTAAAGTGGCATCCAAACCAACAAACTCACTTAGAAACAAGCTTTGTAGGTTAAAAGATCCTATTCATCCAATTAGGTAGAATAATTTAGTTTATCAAATCCCCTGAAATGTTTGTAAGGTCAAATACATAGGTCAAAGTAGTCGACCAGGCTTGATTAGAACAACTGAGCACAACAACTTAGCTAAATCAAGATTAGTAAATCTTGATAAGATGAGAAATGTAGAAAAAAGCTCAGCTATAGTTATGCATGCAATTACACAACTATACAATAGAGTGGGATAACAGCGGTAGTATTAGAGACTAATTCAGTTTGGTGGAGGGAGAGATTGATAACCGAATCTTTGCTTATCGAATCAACACCAAATCCACGTAACAGAAATGATTCTGCACCTGTTGCCTTCACCACAAAGAAGAAAAGAGGATTAGAACTATATAAACTATATCTCAAAGTTGTGGAGTTACCTGATATGAATATGGACAATAAATTGCGTTCGAAACGTTATCCAGCCTCACTATGTTACATTCCTAGCTCACTGGTTTAGGGTCCCGGGTTCGAACCCTGCCCCATGTACTAAGGTTCGGGTAACCAGGTAGAACTCTTAGCCCTCACACAATACGTGACGGTCATTGTTTACTGCACGAATGTATACAAACCAGCTAGCTGAGTTCATTTCGACTCAGCTATTTAACTGCATCTGAATAAATTAAAAATACTGAAGACTTATCAGAGGTTACCACTTATAAATATTCCCATTATGCATAGATGAAGAATAACCTCAAATAGTATGAAACGGGATAAATAGCATACTAGAAAAAAAACTTAGGAAAGTTCTAAAATTAGTGTTATTGCTTGTATTACCATAATGGCTCGGTGGTGTAGTGGAAAACGCTCTCGCGTTTGAAGCGATCGCTCCCGAAACCGAGTCCCAGTAGGAACAGCATCACTCACTGGGAGGCAGGTACATCCAGCTGACGAGTCCCAAATAGGACGAAATGCTCATCCTGTATTCCACTGCTAGCCAATGCTTATCATTACTATACAAAGTTCTAGAATGCTAATAAAATTGACACTGTACTTTATTTTCTATAGTTTTCATCTTTTCAGTATTACTCAATGATACAAGCTTAAAGATACTAAACCCAGAGTATGGAGAGACCTGACATTGTATCAAATAACCAGGTTACTATCTATGAAGAGATCAACGGTTGAGATGAAGATAATGTGAGGATACATCTACACCCTGAGATCAATTCTGAGGTGTATCATCTAGGAACTCCGAATATGGATTTCACTGCCTACGCTCGTTACTGAAGCTTAGATGGCCAGAATAATAAGAATAAGCAACAAGGAACTCTGGCTGGCCTGGTAACGAACCAACCAAGAACCTATCGCTGAACAAATAAGCAGGAGGAAGTGGAGATGGATTGGACTGGCCATACACTGAGAAAACCATCCGGGGACATCACGCGACAGGCCAGCCAAGCACTCGAGTGAAACCCAGATGGGAAACAACGAGTTGGGCGTCCTATGTGAGAGTAACATGGAGGACTGGAGGGCTGTCATGGAGCCAGGTTGAAAAGATTGCAGAGAATAGAGTGCAGTGAAGACGTACTACTGAAGCCGTAGGTTCCACTAGGAACCCAAGGGACAAATGAATAAAGAAATAACAATAAACCTAGAGTATATATATATATAAACAATAAGGGAACTAGCATAAGTAGTAACTAATATAAAAATGAAAATAAATAAATAAACCTACTGTAAGATTAACTGAATGCCGTTTACCAGATTCAACATTCAATTCAGCACAATTGTGAAAATAAAGACTATATAAGCCTTCTTCAGATGTATTAAGGAAACGAACTGTAAACTGAAATATAAGTAAAATGTAGACAAATTTAAGCAAAAATAAGAAGATGAATAACTAACAGTTATTTTAAATCAATATAGTGTTCATCACAAATGGACAACAGTTGGAGAATTACTGAAAACCTGAGATCACTAGAAAGATGTTTCATTGTCATCTCAGAAGTGTGCAACCCATCACGCATCGAAACCATAACTTTAAGATCTCAAAATGAAAACGTTAATCATTCAGTTCGAAGATACTAAATGTCCGATTTATAACGATGCCATGGATGTTTACTACTGAGGAGTCACATATTAGGACGAAACAGATATCAAGTACCCACAAGTTTTCCAATCACTTCCTAATGTCTGAAAAGAGGGCTCGACTTCTTGCATTTACTTCATTATACTTATCAGTGAACCATCCTATGAGTTCACCTTCAAATAAAATGCTTTAATGATAAGCAGAGGATAATAATTAGAGTTTCTTTAGTGATCAGTCAACAAACTATACAGACTGATACTTAAAGATACTACACAAACTTACAATATAAAACTCTAAAAATGTATGAGAATAAAATAGGATCTAATATAATTGTATTTCATTTCAAGCTACCAACACTTCAGTCACGTGAAGAGTAGTACAGGGGATTAGGTGTAAGAAAGGAAACAGTAAGGAAATAGAACAATAAGATTACAATTTGGATGAAGGTAAAGCACAGATACATCTTTATTGTATCCTATCAATTTCGGCTGTCTTAAAGAGTGTAATCAGGAAGTCGATAATATTTTTCTAATGTTTCAGATTGTCAATCAATCAGTCTGTGAATTGGTGCTATAAAGTGATCTAACTAGCTTGAAGCTATTTCTGATTCATTTCAAATCTAGTTAACAAAAATTTAACGTCTCAATTCATATATTATTTGCGATTCTATTATTATTACTAGTACTTATTTGTCTCTTGGGTTCCTAGTGGAACATACGGATACAGTGGTACGTCTCCACTGCACTCTGTTCTCTGCAAACTTTTGAAGCTAGCTTCACGACAGCCCAGTAGCTCTCATTTCTTCCTTACACCATCTCCTCCATGTCACTCTTACATAGGAGGCCCAACTCGTCGTTTCTCATCTGTGTTCCACTCGACACTCTGGCCTGGTGCGTGATATCCCCGAATCGTCTTCTCAGTGCATGTCCAATCCATCTCCACTTCCTTCTGCTTATTTGTTGAGCGATAGCTTCTTGATTGGTTCGTTGCCAGCCAGCTACAGTGAGTTCCTTGTTGCTTATTCTTATTATTCTGACCATGTAATCTTCAGTAACGAGCCAGCGTAGATGGCAGTTGTTGATGAATGTCTGTAGTTTGTTGGAAATCCCTTTCATAACGCGCCAAGTTTCTGAACCACCGCAGAGAAGCACTGACTTGACTGACATTAGTGTTTAAAGTCCGGATGTTGTCCACGCTTTATGCTCAGTGTAGTCAAGCAGATCTCCACTCTGGTTTCAGGTTAATGAAGGAGGGCCTGTCTTGCTGTTTTTGCGATCCTGGCTGCTTTGACATCCTCATCTATGCCGCCACCTGTAGTTGAAACAGTGCTGCCTTTCCTAAGTAGGTGAAAGAGACTACTTCCTTTAAGTTTCTCCCGTTCATGGTGATTGCAGCTTCTTGTTGTTGTTGCTTGGGTATCTTCATCACCTCTGTCTTCTCTAAGTTCACCGAAGGGAGGCCCTTCTTCACTGCCTCACCTCTTCTGTCAAATTGTTAGTTTTCGCCTGTAGATCTTCAATTTTGTGTGAAATAACATTAGACACAAGTCATCGACGACGAAATCCAAATCTTATAGGATCTTTTACCCAGTCCAGCCAGCGTATCCCCCTCTTCTCCCTCCTCACTGTTTGTTGCACGATCCAGTCCAATACTATCAGGAATATCGTGGGGGATAGTAGATAGCCTTGTTTTACTCCTGTCTCCTGTCTTCACTTCAAAGACATCACTGATCTTCCCATTGTGAATTACTTGGCATGTGGTATCTTCATACAGCTGTTGAATGAGATTGATAAAGGTTTGTGGCACTGTAACCGTAGTGTTGAAGTAACTGCCTGACAAATTACTTCTCAGTCGACGCTGTCGAAGGCATTTTCAGAGTTGATGAAGTTGAGGTGACTGCCATTCTATACTCTGTTCTATGATGATACGTAGAGTGGCGTTGGAATTTGGTCCGCACATGATTTGCACTTCCTTAATCCAGCCAGCTAGCCTGTTCCTGTCGTAGTTTTGAATCCAGCGCATCCTTCAGTCTCTCCAGGATGATGCGGCTTAATATTTTGCTTGGGGTGGACAGGAGCATGATTCCGCACCAGTCCTTTCAAACACTTAGGTCGCCCTATTAGTACTAGCAAATAATACTTTATTTCACAAACTACTACTACTGTTGAAAGAGTGAGACTTTTAATAAAATTCCAATTTAATAGTCCAATAAAAAACCAACTTATTATCAGAAACTGTAATCTAATCCCCAAACCAAGTCATCATTAATAAGTAATAACAAGAAAAAATAGGAGTTTTGTAGGTGTACAAACCTTTTCAAACTATGTAATTAGCTAAATAATTAAATTTTTAATATCTTTGAGTTGAACTATCCGTGAAATATTGGTATTCTCCAAAACATCTCGTGAAATTTAATCATACCTCTCTACAACACACAAGGATTGAGTTGGATTGGTTTGGTTATCCTGTCTCAATCCAACACCTCTTCAGCGGATCTAATCATCGGAAAGGATTTGAGTAAGATATCTAAGAGTAAGTGTCAGGTGGATGAGTCCTCATCGCTATACCAGACTTGGAATATGTTCTATGTTGCCTAAAACATAACATTGTACAGAACCGACTCGCTGCAGTTGACAACCTTTCCCAGGTTTCATGTGTATGTGTGTGTGTGTGTGCCAGCAGTCATCGGATTCGAAGTCATTGAAAGGTGTTTTTCAATGATTCAGTTCATGTGACGCTTAGTTTTTAATTTACAACTCATTTTCCTAAGGATATTTCTCTCAGTGTTTACTTGAATACTTGATTTCAATAAAACAAACTAGGTAACAATACAAACATTTTCAATATATCTGTAAGTAGTAATAGTAGACTTTTTTTCAAACTTCAAAACACTCACATTTGTACTGAATACATTATCTTTTATGTCATATGGAATCCATCGTAGTGAACCTTAAAAAACAAAATATGAAAAAACCACGTTTTCAATATCTGATTAAATAAGAGTATTTTATCACTGATTAGTTACAAATTTTATAGCCTTAATCTAACTATTTAAGAGTTGATTTGATTGAGTATTTAGTATATTTCCCAATAATATAATGATGTTTTCATTCGGTTATTTCGCTTACAATGAACTACAATAAAAATGTCATTACGTTGTATCAGTATCATATCTAGTTCAATCTGAGTAGATAGTAAATGTGTTAGACCTTCACAAATTACATATGATTCACAGTCTAGTTTGTAAACTAATTATGAACCACAGTATATATATAACGACAAAGTGCTCAGATGCGATACGATTAACGATAGAATAATAGAAATCTAAGTCCACAAACCACTGAATCAGCTTTAACAGTCTACTAAACATGAAGCTTCGATCACCTGACGAAAAAAAGGTCTTCATGACACCTTAAGGATAATACAAAGACCATGAAACTAATATAATGAGTAAAACATGACTAGAAGATAGATAGCTGTCAGTCAACCTCAAAAATGTAACCACCACAATGTCTGAGTCAGTATCCAAATATGTTATCTACAATATTTTGAAGTTTTGTATTTTTGGGGGCCGGATGGTCGAAAAGAAACGACAAATGAACCAACACCGCCAGCCCCATAGACCGTGGGGCATGGTGGAGTGTGTTATTTTTGGGACCAACCTTTTCTAACACACCCCACCCCCATTATACTCAGAAGGCAGCATCAACATGGCACTGCTGGTCATCCAAGGGAAACACCTTACTGCTGTCACACTCCAGTAGTACGACTTCGCCCTCAGACTCCCATCATAGTGTAGCAATTTACACCACAACGGTAACTGCTATTCGTCTAACCATTATCCAACAGACCTTTCTGGTATGGCAGAACCTCGAAGGAACAAGTGTTCCACTAGCATAGCTCGTTGGGTCATTGTGATATGCAAGCCCGACCACCACGTCAAGGTAGCAGCTATCGGTCGTGAAACACAGCAGTCCGGTCTGTTCTACTCTATGGCTGTGAAACATGGCCATTGAAGGTGCAAGACATGAGAAGGCTTCATGTGTTTGACCACCGTTGACCTTCGTAATATAGGCTGCCGAATTCTGTGGTGTCACCACGTGAGTAATGCAGAAGTCAAGTGTAGAGTTTTAGGGAGACGAAGTAAATCAGTTGACACGGTTTTGAACCTTCATCGATTGAGATGGTTGGGATACGTGTTACGTATGACTAGTCGCCGTCCACCTCGTCACACAATGTTGGTCAAAGTAGGTCCAGGCTGGAAAAAGGCTCGAATGGCCAGACTAAAGCATGACATCAATGTATGAAGTGTTTGACTGTTGATTTGAGCTATGTGGGGGCGATGCAGACTAGGTGGTTGGGGTCGGCCGGACAAGAGGAACCAGTGGTTGGAGACTGACTCTAGGTGATATGGCTCAGAACCGATGTCAGTGGCGCAGATGTATACATACATTACCCTCATCTTAACGACGCCATACTGAATCTCACCACTTTCTCATTTTTCATTTTTCTCTTTTCGTACTTTATATTTCTTGACTGCATTCACTTATCTTCATCTTGCGCCTCACTGCCTTTTTACTTGATGTAATGATATGAGGTGTGGCAACTCGGACCGTTACGCAGTAATGCCTGGTCCTAAGTTGATCTGGATGGATAGATCTACAATATTATTCATCTAGGAATAATTTTCAAAACTCAATTTTATCTTTATTGAGTGATTTGTGCACTCGGAAAAAAGGTTTCATTCTACACTGAAAACAAGAAGTATAAGTAAGTGATTTTAAAACTTGAAGTCTAGCATTGAGTAAATTATGTTGACAACATAAAAAAGAGTAAACTTTGTATGATAATTAAAAATTTTTAGATGATAAAATAGGTAAATCTTACCACTTGGTGATATTTGAGATAAAATAATTCGAAAAATGTTTCGTAATTCCGTCTCATTCCCCGGTTCAATATGATTTGTAGATTTAGACATTTGTAATAGGTCATTATCAATATTTAATTTGTAGTCTGCAACCTCACGTAAAAGACGGTATATAAGATATTGTTCTTGAAATAAATCGTTTAGTTTCATAAGTTTAATTTTCTCCAAGAATACAGGTTCAGATAATATGATCTACAATGAATGTTTAGCATTGGATAGAAGAGGTGAAAGGATGAGACGAATTGTAATTACAAAAAGTCTACAGTTTATCAATGATTTGTAAAAACTTCATGATATAAAGACCTAAATCAAACGTTCACGATTTTACATACTGGACTATCAGCCAAACTTAATTATTGAGACCTAATGATAATTACTTGACTGTCTCTAAAAACAAGATGAGATGGTGCTTGAAACCATGACTCTTTAACAACGTACCTCCCCCTTACCCCACCCGATACTACATACGGAATGATGAGTAAGGTAGTATCCACATCCTCAGAGTAATGTTTAACTCTATTGACCAAAGAGTGTGATCAGACAAAAACTTAAATGATGTGTAGAACCAGTCTCATATCTTCAACGACCAATATTCAAGCACCTGAAAAATCACTAGAACTGGTCAGTTTCATAGGGATTCATTATTTCACTTGCTTACGTAGAGCTAGGTATATTGATCACGTTCAGAGACAGATTATCCAACACTTTCCAGCACAGCTCAGTAATGGTGGATACAAAACGACCAACAGCTGAATCTTACAACACTCGGTCAACAGCGATCACGTCTTCGGAATACAACGGGTCCTACAAGGTGTAAGAAAAAATTTACTTCTTTGTGTTCAAGCTTTAGTAATTCAGAGGTGGAATTTGGGACTGTGTATCTAAAGGTAATCTTTTTATCTATTTTACTCGCTTACTTAACATCTCATTTCCTAAACCTGTTTTTCATTTCGCTACTACATCAATTTTCAACTCATATATCAATTTTATCTATCAATTTCTTATTTCCTCCCATCTTGCCAACCACTCCCTTATTTTATTACGTATTCTTAAAGCATTTATTTCAACCCACTCAATTTGACTACAGTTGCCAAACTGCGTTATCCGTGGTGCTGATGAGACATTCAACTACCTATCAGAGGAGTATTCTGTAATGCAGTAGGTTCTACTTGTTGCATGGCTGAGGCAAGACTATCAAAAATAAACGACATGAAGCGAATACTGAGTTCTGGTCATAGACGTCTTCGAAGCACTGTTTGCGTTTCGTGGAATTACCGTATCAGTAATGTTGAGGTTAGATAAACGATACTAGACAGGAAACGGAAGTCAATTGATGAGGTTGTGAACACTAGTCAACTGAAATGGCTTGCACATGTACTGTGCATGCCCAGACACCCACTACTTAGACGACCCATGGCTAGGGAAAGTTGGATTACATTGGAAGAGGGTTCGGAGTGGCTAAACCAACACGTGCAACCAGTCAATCAACTCTCTTACTGTTGGCCTGAGTTATGTAAGGAGATGTACACTTCCTTATTGGGGTCCCCGAGATGGAATTAATCAGTGAGTGGTTAAGGACTCTTGGTGATATGACTGAGAATTTGTCACAATGGCACAGGTATATTCACTCCACGACATCTAAAGCTTGATTATTTGCACTAACTGTCATCTTCAGATCATTTATTTTCTCACACAACTTTATTTATTTTGATATCACTTCTTTATTATCCACAAGTGGATGGAACACTTTGAAGAACAGTTTGCCCTATCTACAGCCACATTTCAGTTACCCAGCACCCAGCCCAAACCTGAACGGGACACTGATGTCGGTCCTCCAACTCTCTTCGGAGATGAGAAGGTTGTTTCAAACTGTTAACGATGAAATGTAGCAAAACCTGACAGTTTGCTGCTAGAAGTTTTGAAGGGCGGGTGTAGGTAATTATTAAGTAGTGTAACAGAGGTACTAGGTAGTGTATGGAAACAGAGGTAGTCTCATCAGACTGGTCTATATCGTTGATCATCCCGGTTCATAAAAATGATGAGGAGTCTTCCTATGTCAACCATACGGGATTTAGTTAGACTCTCATCGAATATAAGTGGAGATGTGGTTCCTTGATTTCAGCAGCTGACCTTTATTTAATGGACCACGGGTTCCAAAACTACTCCACCCACCGAGGTTTTGGTAGCCAAGTAGTATAATTAGGCCTCATATAATAGTTGTGACTGATTGCCTCTTGGTACGGTTGTGCACAAGGTTGCTGAGAGCATTTTGAAAATGTGCATCGTGTTTAAAATCCTATTATCTATAATTTTATATAACGGGTAAGAGGAGCTCTAAATACCAGGTAAATCTCAGACATGGTCGAGAGCACCGATCAAATCCTTACCCTCCACTAGGTCACAGAACACAAGTACACCTATGGGTACGCAACGCTAGGTGTATTTCTTGGCCCGAAGGCAAGATTTGACTCCGTTGATCGAGGTCTTGTGATAGTATCTCTCATTAAAAACGGGGTAGCAGCTGAGTAGATTACCTTACTTTAGGCGCTATACTCGGAAACTGGTGGGCGTGTTACACCTTCTGGTGAAGTATCAGGTGGTTTGTGTACTTCGAATGATGTCAGTCAAAGATGTTCACTCTCTCCATTCTTATTTGATTTCGTTACATATGTACTTACGGAGGTTTCCCTCTTGTAGTCTGATTTCACAGAGATCGGTCTTATCAGAGGTGCCTCCTTAGTAGACCTAGAGTATGTAGATGATATAATCTCGCTACATGAAGGTGGTAGTAAGTTTTAGAATCTTCTGGACACATTGGGTGACAATTTGGGAATGTTTGGGATATGTTCATCCCCACTCAAATGCAAATTGCTGCTCCATAACTGGTTTTTATGGGTGCCATCCCTAACAATATAGAAGAATAAGAGATGCACTCCATAACGTCGTGCACATCCGTGCAGTAAGCAATGAGCCACGCCTGTGTGAGGGCTAATGACACCATCTGGGTGACCAAACCTCGGTAGGTGGGGTAAGGTTTGAACCTGTGATTCACTGGTTGAAAGTGAACTCTCGAAACCAATGAGCCACAGGTTCACCCTAACAATAAGGAGTGAAGCGATTCGGTGCGTTGACCACTTCGCTTACTTCAGAAGTCGGACTAATCCTGATAGGTTAGTGACCAATTAAATATCGGCAAAAAAGGTTCGATTCTACTTCGTGAAATCATACAGCCTATGTGTGTGATATCTCACTGCCTATAAAGGTTGAGTGCATGGTGCTGAAGTCCCCTCTCTCCCTAACATGGTCATTAAAAGTAGAAGGCACAAAAAGACTTCAGACTTTTAACTACCGTCGCCTTCTTGTTGCAGAACAATCACCTTAATGACATAGATGTTAAGTAGAGAGGTTTGGGCAAAAGAGGTACATCACTTGAAAGGTTGTAAACCTTCATCGACCCCGATGGATGGAACATGTTACCAATGCCTAATCCGCATCTACCTCATCCCGTAGCTGACGCAGGTTCTGGTTGGAAAAAAGTCAAAAGCAGTCAGATTAGGTGACTTTTGTCTATGGGGTCTGCAACTGTTGAGATCTGCATGACAAAACAGATAGTTGGAGACTCTCAGCAATATGGTTCAGAATCAACCTCAGAGCGCAGAAGCATCCATACATTATCTTCGTGTCAAACTTCATATCGAATTTCATTTCATTACTTCTTGTTCTGCTTTTGCGACTTTATCACTTTGACTACTTTGTCTATTTTTCTATCCTTCATATTTTGGGATTTTATCTTAATATGCTGATACGAAGTGTGATAACTCGAACAGCTACACAATGCTGACTGACTGTCTGATGAAAAATAAGGGGATAAATGCAAAATAGCAATGACTTTCAGGTTCGTATACTGAGCGATGTACTACACCCATCGTGTAAGAACCCGTGATAATGCTTAACTGTGTCAGCCTAGACATGTAAAGCGGAGTTTAAACCAGTGACCCGCTACCTGAATGTAAAGTTCTTTACAAGCAACAACACGAATGGGAAGTACACTTTCTAGTTTATTACAGAATATAAACTTATCGAAGCTAAACGTTCCGGTAGGGCCATAGTATGTTTCACAAAACCATGTAATAATAATAATGTTAGAAGAGTTAAAAAAATATCGGTCATGCAACAGAGATCCTTATTAACGATAGGACTGGAGACACTAGGCAATAATACTACAACATAAGAGGTAGTGGCTGCAAGTCTAACGTCCAGATGACATGCATTTTAAAAGACGGGAGAGTGGAAAACAGTGGAAGAAAAGCTTCCTGACGAAACTTACGGCATTTATTGCCTTTGCCACTACCAGGCTTCCATCAGTGATCAGACGCAAGCACGTTAAAGCATAGTGGATATTGTCGATCAAACCAGTAGGTCTAATGACAGGCTCACCGTCTTCTTCCATCTCCAAGGCATCAGCTTCAAAAATTACACCTTTGTAGTTTGTATCGTTATTGTGTACTACTAGTGACCTATTTTATTGGATAGATTAGGAGATTAAAATTATACTGCTAACTTGGATGATGTATCAAACGAGAGATAAAGAAATTTAAACGACTTATCCCAAAAACAAGTATTCGACTTGGATTCCTACAAAAGATTAGTACATATATCTCAGCAGTCCAACGTACAATAAGGGATGTTACTCCTGAATCACCAGCCTTGTCCAAAGTGAAGGTTATCTGCAGAGTAAAGATAACATATTACAAAATATCACCACGATATCTAGTTTCACAATAACTGAGTAATTAAAAGTATCCACTGAAAAAACTTCTAAAAAGAACTAAACAGTCAGTTTGACATATATTTATTATATTATTATTTTCCCTTGACGTTAACTGAGTGTGGATCCTCGGCAGATTTTGAAATAATTTTCTGCATAGGTAGGTATCAATCGGACAGCTGTTGAAAACTAGAGAATAAAGCAGCTAATTTTCCGATGCCATAAGCGTCATTCTCATTTCAGTGAACTAGGTTTACCTCAGATTAGGCACTCAATAGTCAGTAGCTAAGTGGTAAGGCACTCACTGTGAAACTTGACGGTCCGTCTCGATCACATGGGTGTAAATCGCTGAAATCCCGCCGTAGCATGGGTTTTCCAGTTCACTTAGTTTTGGGGCCATAGCTCAATGGTTTGGGCACTTGACTTTCAAATAACAGGTCAAAGGTTAGAACCCCAACTTCACCCACCAAGATCTGAGAAGTCAAGCGGCATCATTAGCCCTCGCACAACAAGATGTTCTGCTAGGCGAAGATGCTGACAAAATGTAGGGTCATCCAGATATGTTGCGCAGAAATGTGAGTATATTTGGCATGCGTCTAGCTGGTACCTGTCAAATGTAGGCTGATATCCAAGGACTGATCTGCTGCAAGTACTCCCAGTTTAATGATAAGGAGTTAAGTGGTAGCATTTGTCAACCAATTCACTTACTTAAGGAGTTGCATCAGCCCCGATACAGAAGGCCCGTTTGGCATTCACTAACTAGTGTCATCTGGAAGGTACATCTATATGAAAGTTTGATCCACCTGAGCTTGACCAATACTGCAACGTGGTTTAGCCGCAGAACCCACATGGTCGTACTTTCGACGCCACAGTTCAGACACTAGATGACATGTTTTCAGAATATCAACGACTGGGCAACCTGCAGCGTGATACGAGTTTAGCCCAATCCAGACGCCAGGGTGGTTCTGAAGTACATACAGTTCGCCAGACATCTGGCTAAACACCCCCGTTGACCTTATCCCACATGTTCATCGGACAAGTAACTTATGCGATACTGACCCTCGAAGAAGACATCCCTATCGCCTAGCTGACATTGTGGTCCCTGGTACTTCGTCAGATCATGTCCACATAAACAACATCGATGCACGGGCCGTAATGCTGTGGCCATAAGGATGATTTTTGTCGCCAACATACACGACGTGTACAAAGGTCATACTCCAGATGTTGCTGCAGATCCCATTATGGATCGGTAGGTAAATCTCTTGGCTTGATAGCTGATTTTCATGCTCACGCACCTGCCTACCGAAAGAATATCGAGAAGACTACTGATCCCCCAGTGAACAAAGAGAAACTCCCACTGCATCCGTCAGATAGGTGCAGGAAAAACACTGCAGCCCAGTCTGACCCCAAATAACATTCTTCCGAAAAGGGACGTGATATGGGGAAACAGGGAAATGAATAATCTGGAGAAGGACCAATCAAAATGTATTTTGTGATATTATATCAACAGTTAAACAGCCAATCAATATCTATGCATCTATATATTGGATATATTTTTCTTTGTTCTGGTCTTCGGTCTTTCAACCCCAATATACAACTAGTCGAGTCAGGAATCAACTAGGAATCTGTAGAATGTTAGTGGCTGACAGTCGATACCCGTGCGTCATTAGCAGCCATAACAGTCTTCGAATTATAACAGTTTTGATCACAGATGCCTTCGTAGCACTGTTTGCGTTTCGTGGAATTACCGTATCAGTAATGTTGAGGTTAGATAAACGATACTAGACAGGAAACGGAAGTCAATTGATGAGGTTGTGAACACTAGTCAACTGAAATGGCTTGCACATGTACTGTGCATGCCCAGACACCCACTACTTAGACGACCCATGGCTAGGGAAAGTTGGATTACATTGGAAGAGGGTTCGGAGTGGCTAAACCAACACGTGCAACCAGTCAATCAACTCTCTTACTGTTGGCCTGAGTTATGTAAGGAGATGTACACTTCCTTATTGGGGTCCCCGAGATGGAATTAATCAGTGAGTGGTTAAGGACTCTTGGTGATATGACTGAGAATTTGTCACAATGGCACAGGTATATTCACTCCACGACATCTAAAGCTTGATTATTTGCACTAACTGTCATCTTCAGATCATTTATTTTCTCACACAACTTCGTCTCTTATTATATCGGTCTTTTTCTACCCACTTGTTCTTTGTATACTACTGTGAAGTGTGGCAACTTCAACCGGTGCACGTGTGTACGAGGTCCTATGTTGGTTTTGCCCGTCAGCTAGTCAGCACGAGTTTGCTACACTGTCACATTCTTTGGAACATAGAACAAAACAAGATTGAGATAAAAAAAAAAAGGTTTTAGATATTTCCTTTAAAGCCCTAGAATACAGCAGAACTGTTCCACCACTCCGTGATTTCCAACAAATTTTCCAATGATGTCATTTGCAACAAAAGTCGTTTTCACGCGATGCGCATATCCAAAAGATATTGTTAATCATTTTTAAATCAAAACTTGAGAACAGCACTATACCCCTTAATGTAAGCTTTCTATCCCAACTGAATTAGAACCTATTGAAGCTGATCTAGCGAAGTTTGGGCTATTGGGTAGTAACTCTAAACCGTGAATGCTAGGTATGATCAACCTACTACAAAAACTTACATTAGATTGTTAAGACATCATTAAGAAATATCCTTCTTTTTTTAGAAGGGTTTAAATACTGTTGGTGTTCATGAAACAGAACTATGTAGATTGCGATACACATTAAATGATCGAGGCTGCCAAGTTAAAAGTAACTTCAAAAGCAGTCAACTTAAAAGCCAAAAAATGGATTTCAAGCACTTAAATCCGCCCCGTTTCTTCTTAGTTCTAGTACAACCCACACCTTAATACTTACCTTTCCAAAATCATGCCAATTAGTGACATAATGAGATCTGTGAAAAACGAGCATCTGCAAATAGCATATGGATACAAGAGAATGCTAATGATCGTTAGTATAAGAAGATCCAACCCCCATACTGTTCTAATCGATGACGATCATGACTTTTACCGCATGACCTTAACTGCAACCTCTGGTATCCCTACAAACTGGGTTACAGGCAGCCTGACCAATTATCTCAGCCTTGGCTAGCAAAAGAGCATACCTGGAACTATGATTTAATTGTGAAGAAAACAAACAACACACCTGAGAATAAGCAGTATTTATGTCAACACACCCGAAAATACTTATCCACTTCTTTCTATTACGTTATGGATAATTAGAGCTAGCAATTACAGAATTAATAGATGCGGAAACATTCATTTAACTACTGTAAACCACCTGCAACTAAGAAGAGGTTCAATGTAATAGCCAATGAGGTGCTTTGCCCCGCAATATTTTTACCTCAAAATTTGGTGATATAGTATCCGAGCAACCTTTGCAACAGTCAACCAACAACGAAACGTAGTCGTCCATAAAATTTTTGAGTACGTCACTTGGAATTACACCAAATAAAACCGAAACACCAAAAAAGTGACAAGGGGGAGTCGAATATTATAAATGAGGTTTAGGGCTACTGCTCACTCCTAATAAAAGCAAAGGCCATGTTTCATGGTGTGACCATGTGAGTGACGCGGAAGTAAGGCGTAGAGTTTTAGGGAGAAGAGGTAAGACAATTGAATTGGTAGTGAACCTTCATCAACTCAGATGGCTGGGGCATATGTTACATATGCGTACTTACCGTCTACTTCGTTGTGCAATGTTTAGGCTAGAAAAAGGCTCGGGGCCGCCAGACTAAAATATGGTATCACTGCATGACACCTTTCACTGTTGATTTGAGCTATGTAGGGAGATGCAGGTTAGCCGGTTGGAGTCTACGAGACAACAGAAACCAGTGGTTGGAGACTGACTCTAGGTGATATGGCTCAAAATCCATGTCAGTGGAGCAGATGCATACACACATTATCCTTATCTTACCCTCCATACCTAATCTCATTATTTTCTCATTCCTCCTTCCTATCTTTTACTACTTTCGACTTCTACTTCTTCGACCAATTCTTCTATCCTTTTTCATCTTCTATTTTATTGCTTTGAAACTTGATGTGCTGATGTGAGATGCAGCAACTTGGACTGTTGTACAGTAATGTGTGGTCCTATGTAGATCTTGATGATGACGAACCTGGGCTCCCACATAAAAACATCTGAATTATGTTTCGGAAGCTAACTCCCATGCTGTAGCCCTGGGATTTAGACTCTAAATAACCAATCTCGACTTGCGTAGTTTGCATTTACTACTACATTTAGACGTTAATTCCCAATTTGTGCTTTAACAATGAGAACCGTATGAAGATAACTGATTATTATATGAAATTGATTCACAGCTTGTAAACGTCAATCTGCTAAAAAACAACGATCAATCATATCACTTTCGAGTAGTCAGTGCGACGTTATTACTCAGCAACCAGCCTAATAGGTTTCAAAAGTGATCTACGCGGGAATACAGTTCATCATTTCTGAGCGGTGACGGGCACCAAATTCCATTGATATTGATGGCAGACAAAAACTGGCAAAACCCATGCTATTTTGGTCTTGTGATAATGCTATTCAATCAAATAATGACATTTTAGCACAAGAATATGTCACCTGTAGCCTAAAAAAATTGTTGATTGGATATGCCAAAAAAATGGACATGGTTGAAACCATGTTGCCACAAGATAAAACAAACCAAGCGATTTAACTTACGTGCTGTAAATCACCTTCCAGTTTTTGGATAGAAACAGAGAGGAATGAACCCTTTGCAAACCCAAAGTGACTGCATAATACTGCTTTTCTACCATCGTTCTGAACTTATAATAAAATTCCATAATAAATAAAACCTTCAAATTTAGTATGTGCTTTCTACAGACGATGTGCTGACACAAAGCCACGAAAATCCAAATAAACAAGGGTAAAAATTCATCACCAGTGTAACGCAAAGACTCAAAGACGGCACATTTGCATTTACATGCCCAATGACTTCGGTCTGGAACAACTCTTAGTTTGAAGATAGGTTAGTATCTCAACACTTGAATATGAGGCTTTACATATATTTCTGTAATCTTTTTCGCCAAAACCTTTGACCTGCGATTTAAATGGAGATTAGTGGGTAGAGTTTTGATAGCCCTGAAGTGCAATGAATGTATCAATAGTACCTTTTTAAGATGTGGAATTCTTCAATCTTTTTGCACGGTAGTTTCAAATCACTTCTGGAATGTTTTCCATATTTCAGAAAAACAGATTGCAGCTCACAACACAAATTTCTCAGAAGGCTATGCTGGTGTTCTTACTTAACTAAACCCCTGTATAGATGAGGTATATAAGAGCATAATTAACGCAAAATCTATTCATGGCATTATCATACCTGAAATTATTTTGTTTTCAAACTGCTATTTTAGCTCTTCAAGCAGCAAAGATAAATAAGAAAACCAAATCAGCTATTGCGGACACGAGGATCCTAAATACTTGAACTCAAACGCTTTCATCAAAGCAGTGCTCAGGAACACGGCATTTGAAAGTGGGAAAGCGCACAGCTTCCGGCAGTCAGAGGTCGGCCTGTGAGGTCAAAGTTATATCACACCATCCTAAGAGAAGTAAAACCATAGTGCATCCAGAAACGGTGATAAATTTTAAAATAAGCTACTGTACAGTTGATAAGTTTCGTTCTGAAGAACGTACTTCATTCCTGGTGGGTGAGAGGTTAAAATATCTCGGCACATAACATGCGAAGTGGAAACAGAATAATTCATCTTACCCTCTTGCGAAATGTTTCGGCAGAAGGTCATGAAACTTGGAATGCATCAAGGCACAGGGATAAAATTCAGAGAAAAGCGATGGCGATAGGCTAGAGTAATGTTAAGAGAATTTAAACCACTAAAGTTATCAGAAAAAGCTTCATTCACCACTGGAAGCCATGTGTCCAGAAAGAAATAAGCGCATACATGTTTTAGACCATTTCACGCTCCTGGGTGCTGCTCCTTGATTATCGTTTCTTCTACTTTACTTTCTTTCATGGGACTACCACGTGGCTCTCAGGGCTTCATTATCTAAGAATTTTAATATACAGATGTTCCTTCACTTTACTGGCTCGACGCTTGTTCGTTCTACCAGTTAATTAATCCGGTGGCCAACAAAAAGTTACATTCTCAATTCAATTCGTTGCGTTACATCTTCAGCTGCCGGCCTGTTAGCTAGTGAGTAGCAGCCTAGTTAGGAGCCTCCCCACTACCTCCAAGCCTCAGAAGACCACTGGCAAATGCTTTTGACCTAAGATAGCACTGCAGAAAAACGTGGAAACGGAACCCGGTAATTTATTTGCGCAATCACAATTCTATCAAACTGCAGATATTCATCAGCCACTTTCTACGCTGGCTCGTAACTAAAAATCAGATGGCCAGAAGAAATGAGCAACAAGGAATTCTGGCAACAAACCAACCAAGAATCTATCGGCCAACAAATATGCAGAAGGAAGTGGAGATGGACTGAGCATGAACTGAGAAGACCATTCGGGACATCATGCGCCAGGCCAGTCAGGCACTGGAGTGGAACCCAGGTGGGAAACGACGAGTTGGGCGTCCCTGTTGAGGGTGACATGGAGGAGATGGTGTGATGAAGAAATGAGAGCTTGTGGGCTGTGGTGAAGCCCGGTTGAAAAGACTGCAGAGAACGGAGTGGAATGGAAACATGCTGCTGAAGCCGTATGTTCCACTAGGAACCCAAGGACAAATAATAATTACGTTAAGATAAAGGGCCGACACAAAAAGCTACAACAGACTTCGAAATCGGTCAAAAGCGCTTGAGCAGTATTTGCTGAATAACTTAGCATAGCATGTTACGAAACCTGCCTTGATAGCCAGTGGGATATGTGGTGAGTTTTACGATCCAACTGTCACGCCTAATTTGGTGAACCATTGAATGGAAAAGAGAACAGCTTTGCGGTCACAACTTCTGCAGTTGAAGTGACCAGCACTGACGAAGTTTATCAGCAAAATTACCTGCTGGCCACTATTTTGTTTCCCAAGCCGCTTATTTTGCATTATATATATATATATATATTTGCATTGTTTGTTTGTTTGCACTGCATCTCATTAAAACTTAGGATGTCAACAGAATAAATACGCACAAACTGGCACTCTAGAGAATCGGAAATATGATGAAAAATCCAGGGTTTGCATTTAATTATTGCAGGGACTGTCTGGGGAAAAATTTCAAGCTTGGAGCTAATACTTCCATCGTTAGGTTCGTCATATTTTGCTTATCACAGCTGATGAAAACGGTGCCCATGAGTGTATGCACATGGCCTGTTACTTGCTGTTTTGAATGAGTGCAGAACTGTGTATTCCATTCACTAATTTACCAGCTATCGCAGGGCGTTAGTATTCTTACTGAATATTAGGACCGTGAGCCAAATATCGCTCTTTTCAACCCCCAGCATAAAAATGCAGTAGGTTTGTCCGAATGAATGAAGTGGACCTCCAGAAATTTTTTCTTGCCGTTTTCCTCATGACCATGACGTTTTCAAAAGAATCTAATGACTTCTCTTCTGTGCCATTCAGGTTCCGTAAAATACTGTAGATTTTCCAACATTTATCAATGTGATGAGTCCTGTAAGCTGGCTTCTCCCATTTTGAATCACTAATATAGAAATAAGATATCCATAACAACCTTGTGGTTGGTAAGTATGACGCATTTCTGTTCGCTTTCTTAGTGAATCCCAAGTCTTGAAAACTATGAAGTTGTAGTTCGGAGGACATTACCCGTCTCTGCACATCGTGCTTCATCGACAATATTACACATTGAGCAGATCCAGCACAGGTTTGTCCCTCAAAGAGTTTAATTTCATTTATAATCAGGGCAGCTTTCAAACTGGAGGGCCTGCCTGCAACGAGAAAGAGACAAAGTAGCAGGTAGAGAAGGAGAGACAGAAGTCTGACGAGGAGGTTGTTTTCTGCAGGCGTGTTTCTCGGTACCTTAACTTTCCTTACTATGCCACCAGTTGCATGTGTTTCATCTATCAAACATTTACGGGTTTACTTCCGGTGTTATTTGCTATTTTAAGACCTGATTCTGTATCTGTCACCACAGGATGGTATAACTGTGTCCGAGTGTTGGATTACGAGAAAGTTTCCGCTGCGTTATCAATGAAAGTTCAAAGCAGAGGTTGAGGAAGTCACACTTAAACTTTCAGAAGATCGAATATATGGAGTGCTGTAGAAGATCGTAACTGCGTAATCGCTTAGCTGGCTTCATTATGACGCTGTAGACATGGTTCCTCAGATGGTAACAGCCGCTGTGTTTGAAATGAAGCTCACTACCAGCTATAGAAGAGAATTTGTGTGGCGGATTACAGCAGAGTTTCAAATTACTTTTGAGCCACTGTAGTGCCCAGTAAATTTCTGCTTGTCGTAAACTTTGTATTCACTCTTGACTGCTGTTGAATGACGAATAACTTCCAACGCACTTGCTAAAATTTTGCCCACTTGACTTGCCCATCAGGGTGCTTGGAATAAACGTTGCACTTCTACCACTGCCTTGTGAGTTGCTGCATTGTAGTTGCTTACGAAACACACGTTACATCCTTTGCGTTTTTCTCGTGCTTTCGGATTTTGGCAATCTGGCTACGATACAGTTACATTTTCGCCTGCAAATTAAAGCTCCTACACATACACGTAATCCACTAATTGTTGCTGCCATTCTCCCCGCAACCATTGGTTGCATATCTCTGGTTTTCATCAATATTTGAGCTTTGGAGTGAACCTCGGTGTACTTCACTATATGACGGGAAGCTGTAGCTCTTCTCTGCTTTACATACTAGTTTATTACCGAAGCTGAGGTTGAAAGACAACCAGTAAATTTAATCTGTGTTGTAGCTAGGTCTCTAATCTTGCCATTTTATTATCAGACAATGATTTTTTTCTTGATTCCTGTATCTTGCAGCCTTAACATGAGTAACGTTTTCGTCGCCGTAAGCAGACCAATTCATAAAGCTAAGAGGTCAAAAGCTTCGAATCCATCGCTACGGTCTGAAAATAGTTTACTTACTAGCGGTCACCCTGTTGATCTGTTAGACGTCATGACTGACGTATGTAATGGCGTTACTGCGAACGAGGGTAATATCGTAAATAAGCGAGATCACTACTTTGTGGATCATGTCCAACCCTTGCCTAATATTTATCACTGAAGCTTGGTGTACTCCAGACACTCCTGATAGTGGTGTCTCCATCCACAATTATACTCCGTTTAGGGGGGATAGATGTAATGGTAAAGGTGGTGGTTGCATCACTTATATCAGGTCTAACATTGCTACGACAAACTGCAGTACCCCAGAAATTAGTTCGCTCAGTGACTCAGTGTGGGTTGTGGCGAAGTTTGCAAATGCTATAACTATCCTCTTAGGGTGTATCTACCATCTCCCTTGCTCTACTGTAGATTATGACGACAGGCCTACAGAACTGTTCACCCATGTAACAACACCACCCTACCCCATGAAACTTGTGTGCGGAGACTTTAGTATGCACGACATCACGTGGCAGTCACTTGGTTCCCGTAGGTGGTTTGGTGATTTTATTAATGCGCTGGATTCTAGGGGATGGCATCAACACGTGATGCTACCAACTAGGCACAGTAGCATACTTGACCTCGTTTCACCGATGGGTTATTGCCTTTCACCCTTCAAGTCTATCCAGAATTCCCGGGCAGCGATCACAGAATAGTGTTTGGTGACTTCCGACTATCTCCCAGTACAAAGTTAGCTCCCAGGTCAAAAATAACCACAACCAAACAATATTAAAATACCATCTCGGAAGAGATGCAATACACGTTGCGATGCTTGGACTGGGGTTCTTACTTCATAAGTAGCTCAACTCATGAACCAGGTGACATCTCCTACAGTTCCATGATTGTAATTCACGATCATAATGCTCCGGAGGTATCAGTGTTAGTTAGAAAGCCGAAAGTGAACTTCATCCCCGAAAACGTACTTATCAGCATGCGCAGATGTGCCACAAATTTCTATCGATCTAGTGACCTTTCATTCCTCGTCTCATCGAAAATCGCTCATGAAAACTTCAAATCAAATAAGTTACTGAAAGCAATCAAGCAAGGAACTAGCTGCAATGCACAAACAGGCAATGTTCAATCATTAGTGAGAATTCTAAAATCCTATGCAAACTCATCTAGAGTTGTTTCCAGTAGTCTTATCATTGATGGGGACATTCTTTATGATGACCAAAGTAAGATCTGTGAACTGTTTAGCAAACATTATGCAAGCTACTTTGCACATGAAGACAGTGTACCAGACCTGAAAATGCCGTTCCACCACACTACTGGCTAGGTAATGTTTCCCTTACACAGAGGAAGATAGCTGTTGCGGCTGCATCGCTAAAGGACTAGTACTGCCGGACCCGATGGGATCCCATCTGTTCTCCTAGAGGGGTGGTGAAGACATACCATTGATCCTTAAGAAGCTATTCTAAATAATCCCTACTGAGGCATGCTATCCTGACCGCTGGAAGCTGTCATACACATCCCTCACATATAAATCCGGCCCGGAGTCAGATATTCAAAACTATCGTCCCATAAATATTACACCTGCAGTCTCTCGTTTCATGGAGAAGGTGGTTGTGCACAAAATTACTGATTTTGTGGTTGCGCATCAGTTACTTTCCCTTATGCAGCATGGTTTCTTAAAAGGTCGTTTAAGCAGTACTTGCTCACCAGATTATTTTGAGGAGGTCACCTGCAGACGAGATGAGAGTCTTTTCCTAACCACTCTATTTTTTACGCC